CTGTCCCCCTGTCCCTTTATGTCCCCCAGGCCGGGCAGTCCGGGGTGGCCTCAGGAGGTGTCCCCTGTCCCCTTTGTGTCCCCCCCAGGTCGGGTAGGCCGGGGTGGCCCAGGTGACCCTCAGGAGGTGTCCCCTGTCACCCCCAGGCTGGGCAGTCTGGGGTGACCCCGTGATGCCCTCAGGAGGTGTCCCCTGTCCCCCCCTGTCCCCGTTTGTGTCCCCCCAGGTCGGGTAGGCTGGGGTGGCCCAGACTCAGTCCAAGGTGGCCCAGGTGACCCTCAGGAGGTGTCCCCTGTCCCCTTTGTGTCCCCTTTGTGTCCCCCCAGGCTGGGCAGTGTGAGGTGGCCCAGACTCTGTCCGGGGTGGCCCAGGTGCCCCCCCAACCCCCTCAGGAGGTGTCCCCTGTCCCCTTTGTGTCCCCCCAGGCCGGGCAGTCCGGGGTGGCCCAAACTCTGTCTGGGGTAGCCCAGATGACCCCCCAGCCCCCTCAGGAGGTGTCCCCATGTCCCCTCTGTGTCCCCCCAGGCCGGGCAGTCCGGGGTGGCCCAGACTCACTCTGGGGTAGCCCAGGTGACCCTCAGGAGTTGTCCCCTGTCCCCCCCAGGCCGGGCAGTACGGGGTGGCCCAGACTCAGTCTGGGGTGTCCCAGGTGACCCTCAGGAGGTGTCCCCTGTCCCCTTTGTGTCCCCCCCAGGCCAGGCAGTCCGGGGTGGCCCAGACTCGGTCCGGGGTGGCCTCAGGAGTTGTCCCCTGTCCCCGTTTGTGTCCCCCCAGGCCGGGCAGTCCAGGGTAGCCCAAACTCAGTCTGGGGTGGCCCAGGTGCCCCCCCAGCCCCCTCAGGAGGTGTCCCCTGTCCCCTCCTGTCCCCTTTGTGTCCCCTCAGGCCGGACAGTCCGGGGTGGCCCAGACTCAGTCCGGGGTGGCCCAGGTGACCCTCAGGAGGTGTCCCCTGTCCCGTTTGTGTCCCCCCCAGGCCGGGCAGTCCACGGTGGCCCAGATGACCCCCCCAGCCCCCTCAGGAGGTGTCCCCTGTCCCATTTGTGTCCCCCCAGGCCGGGCAGTACGGGGTGGCCCAGGTGACCCTCAGGAGTTGTCCCCTTTGTGTCCCCCCAGGCCGGGCAGTCTGGGGTGGCCCAGACTGGACCCTTTGTGTCCCCCCAGCCCCCTCAGGAGGTGTCCCCTGTCCCCTTTGTGTCCCCCCAGGCCGGGCAGTATGGGGTGGCCTAGACTCGGTCCAGGGTGGCCCAGACTCGGTCCAGGGTGGCCCAGGTGACCCTCAGGAGTTGTCCCCTGTCTCCCCCAGGCCGGGCAGTACGGGGTGGCCCAGATGACCCCCCAGCCCCCTCAGGAGTTGTCCCCTGTCCTGTTTGTATCCCCCCAGGCCGGGCAGTACGGCGTGGCCCAGACTCAATCTGGGGTGGCCCAGGTGCCCCCCCAGCCCCCTCAGGAGTTGTCCCCTGTCCCCTTTGTGTCCCCCCAGGCCGGGCAGTCCAGGGTGGCCCAGACTCAGTCTGGGATGGCCCAGACTCGGTCCGGGGTGGCCCAGACTCAGTCCGGGCTGGCCCAGATGACCCCATGATGCCCTCAGGAGTTGTCCCCTGTCCCGTTTGTGTCCCCCCCAGGCCGGGCAGTCCGGGGTGGCCCAGACTCACTCTGGGGTAGCCCAGGTGACCCTGTAGCCCCCTCAGGAGTTGTCCCCTGTCCCCCCCAGGCCGGGCAGTACGGGGTGGCCTAGACTCGGTCCGGGGTGGCCCAGACTCGGTCCAGGGTGGCCCAGGTGACCCTCAGGAGTTGTCCCCTGTCCCGTTTGTGTCCCCCCAGGCCGGGCAGTACGGCGTGGCCCAGACTCGCCGCCGGGCCATCGTGCTGGCGGCGGCCCCCGGGGAGAAGCTGCCGATGTTCCCCGAGCCCCTGCACGTCTTCGCCCCCCGCGCCTGCAAGCTCAGCGTGGTGGTGGACGACAAGAAGTTTGTCAGCAACATCACCAGGTGAGGGAAACCTTCTCCTTCCAGCACCCCCACAAACCTCCATTCCCCTCCTCCTCCTCCTCCAACCCCTGCCTGGGGGCCACCACCAGGTTGGGGACAGCTCTGGGGACAGCTCTGGGGACAGATCTGGGGACAGTTCTGGGGACAGGTTGGTGGCCCTGGTGTCTCTGATGGCTCTGGGGGCAGGTTGGTGGCCCTGGTGGCTCTGGGGACAGGTTGGTGGCCCTGGTGGCCCTGGTGGCTCTGGTGGCTCAAGGTCCCCTTCCCCCTGCCCAGGGGCCACCACCAGCCTGGGGACAGCTCTGGGGACAGCTCTGGGGGCAGGTTGGTGGCCCTGGTGGCCCTGGTGGTTCTGATGGCTCTGGGGTCAGTTTGGTGGCCCTGGTGGCCCTGGTGGCTCAGGGTCCCCTCTCCCCTGCCCAGGGGCCACCACCAGCCTGGGGACAGCTCTGGGGACAGCTCTGGAGTCAGTTTGGTGGCCCTGGTGGCTCAGGGTCCCCTCTCCCCTGCCCAGGGGCCACCACCAGCCTGGGGACAGCCCTGGGGACAGCTCTGGGGACAGTTCTGGGGTCAGGTTGGTGGCTCTGGTGGCTCAGGGTCCCCTCTCCCCTGCCCAGGGGCCACCACCAGGTTGGGGACAGCTCTGGGGTCAGTTTGGTGGCCCTGGTGGCTCTGGTGGCTCAGGGTCCCCTCTCCCCTGCCCAGGGGCCACCACCAGGGTGGGGACAGCTCTGGGGTCAGCTCTGGGGACAGTTTGGTGGCCCTGGTGGCCCTGGTGGCTCTGGGGTCAGTTTGGTGTCTCTGGTGGCTCTGGGGACAGGTTGGTGGCCCTGGTGGCTCTGGTGGCTCAGGGTCCCCTCTCCCCTGCCCAGGGGCCACCACCAGCCTGGGGACAGCTCTGGGGACAGCTCTGGGGACAGTTTGGTGGCCCTGGTGGTGTCCCTGGGGACAGTTTGGTGGCCCTGGTGGCCCTGGTGGCTCTGGGTCCCCTTCCCCCAGCACAGGGGCCACCACCAGGGTGGGGACAGCTCTGGGGACAGTTTGGTGGCCCTGGTGGTTCTGATGGCTCTGGGGACAGTTTGGTGGCCCTGGTGGCTCTGGGGACAGTTTGGTGGCTCTGGTGGCTCAGGGTCCCCTCTCCCCTGCCCAGGGGCCACCACCAGGGTGGGGACAGCTCTGGGGTCAGCTCTGGGGTCAGGTTGGTGGCCCCAGGCTCTGGGACAGGTTGGTGGCCCTGGTGGCTCAGGTCCCTTCCCTCAAGCCCAGGGGCCACCACCAACCTGGGGACAGCTCTGGGGCTGTAGTTGGTGGCCATGGTGGCTCTGGGGGACAGTTTGGTGGCCCTGGTGGCCCTGGTGGCTCAGGGTCCCCTTCCCCCCTGCCCAGGGGCCACCACCAGCCTGGGGACAGCTCTGGGGACAGCTCTGGGGACACACCACCAGGGTGGGGACAGCTCTGGGGTCAGCTCTGGGGTCAGGTTGGTGGCCCTGGTGGCTCTGGGGACAGGTTGGTGGCCCTGGTGGCTCAGGGTCCCCTTCCCCCCTGCCCAGGGGCCACCACCAACCTGGGGACAGCTCTGGGGTCAGGTTGGTGGCCATGGTGGCTCTGGGGACAGTTTGGTGGCCCTGGTGGCCCTGGTGGCTCAGGGTCCCCTTCCCCCCTGCCCAGGGGCCACCACCAGCCTGGGGACAGCTCTGGGGACAGCTCTGGGGACAGGTTGGTGGCCCTGGTGGCTCTGGTGGCTCTGATGGCTCTGGGGACAGTTTGGTGGCCCTGGTGGCTCTGGGGACAGTTTGGTGGCTCTGGTGGCTCTGGGGACAGCTCTGGGGTCAGGTTGGTGGCTCTAGTGGCTCAGGGTCCCCTCTCCCATGCCCAGGGGCCACCACCAACCTGGGGACAGCTCTGGGGACAGCTCTGGGGACAAGTTGGTGGCCCTGGGGGTGTCCCTGGGCACAGTTTGGTGTCCCTGGTGATGTCCCTGGGCACAGTTTGGTGTCCCTGGGCACAGTTTGGTGTCCCTGGGGACAGTCTGGTGTCCCTGGGGACAGTTTGGTGTCCCTGGGCACAGTTTGGTGGCCCTGGTGGCTCTGATGGCTCTGGGGACAGTTTGGTGGCCCTGGTGGCTCAGGGTCCCCTCTCCCCTGCCCGGGGGCCACCACCAGCCTGGGGACAGCTCTGGGGACAGGTTGGTGGCCCTGGTGGCCCTGGTGGCCCTGGTGGCTCTGGGGACAGTTTGGTGGCTCTGGTGGCTCAGGGTCCCCTTCCCCCCTACCCAGGGGCCACCACCAGGTTGGGGACAGCTCTGGGGACAGCTCTGGGGTCAGGTTGGTGGCCCTGGTGGTGTCCCTGGGGACAGTTTGGTGGCCCTGGTGGCTCTGGTGGCTCAGGGTCCCCTTCCCCCCTGCCCAGGGGCCACCACCAGGTTGGGGACAGCTCTGGGGACAGCTCTGGGGACAGGTTGGTGGCCCTCGTGGCCCTGGTGGCTCTGGTGGTTCTGGGGACAGCTTGGTGGCTCTGGGGACAGTTTGGTGTCCCTGGGCACAGTTTGGTGGCCCTGGGCACAGTTTGGTGGCCCTGGGGGTGTCCCTGGGGACAGTTTGGTGTCCCTGGGCACAGTTTGGTGTCCCTGGTGATGTCCCTGGGGACAGTTTGGTGGCCCTGGTGATGTCCCTGGGCACAGTTTGATGACCCTGGGGACAGTTTGGTGTCCCTGGTGATGTCCCTGGGGACAGTTTGGTGTCCCTGAGCACAGTTTGGTGTCCCTGGTGATGTCCCTGGGCACAGTTTGATGTCCCTGGGCACAGTTTGGTGTCCCTGGGCACAGTTTGGTGTCCCTGGGGGTGTCCCTGGGCACAGTTTGGTGTCCCTGGGCACAGTTTGGTGTCCCTGGTGATGTCCCTGGGCACAGTTTGGTGTCCCTGGGCACAGTTTGGTGTCCCTGGGGACAGTTTGGTGTCCCTGGTGCCCCTGGTGTGTGACATTCCCCCTCCCCAGGACGTATTCCGGGCCTTTCCGCACCATCACGGTTCGGGACACGATGTCGGACCTGCCCGAGGTGTCCCTGGGGGTGTCCCTGGGGACAGTTTGCTGTCCCTGGTGATGTCCCTGGGGACAGTTTGCTGTCCCTGGTGATGTCCCTGGGGACAGTTTGGTGTCCCTGGGCACAGTTTGGTGTCCCTGGGCACAGTTTGATGTCCCTGGTGATGTCCCTGGGGTCAGTTTGGTGTCCCTGGGCACAGTTTGGTGTCCCTGGTGATGTCCCTGGGCACAGTTTGGTGTCCCTGGGCACAGTTTGGTGTCCCTGGTGATGTCCCTGGGCACAGTTTGGTGTCCCTGGTGATGTCCCTGGGGACAGTTTGGTGTCCCTGGGCACAGTTTGGTGTCCCTGGGCACAGTTTGGTGTCCCTGGTGTCCCTGGTGTCTCACATTCCCCCTCCCCAGGACGTATTCCGGGCCTTTCCGCACCATCACGGTTCGGGACACGATGTCGGACCTGCCCGAGGTGTCCCTGGGGGTGTCCCTGGGGACAGTTTGCTGTCCCTGGTGGTGTCCCTGGGCACAGTTTGGTGTCCCTGGGCACAGTTTGGTGTCCCTGGTGATGTCCCTGGGCACAGTTTGGTGTCCCTGATGGTTCTGGGCACAGTTTGGTGTCCCTGGGGGTGTCCCTGGGGACAGTTTGGTGTCCCTGGGCACAGTTTGGTGTCCCTAGGCACAGTTTGGTGTCCCTGGTGTCCCTGGTGTCTCACATTCCCCCTCCCCAGGACGTATTCCGGGCCTTTCCGCACCATCACGGTTCGGGACACGATGTCGGACCTGCCCGAGATCCGGAACGGGGCCTCTGCCCTGGAGATCTCGTACAACGGGGAGCCCCAGTCGTGGTTCCAGCGGCAGATCCGCGGCTCCCAGTACCAGCCCATCCTCAGGGACCACATCTGCAAGGTGGGCGAGGCAACTGGGGGCTACTGGGAGCAGCTGGGAGTGACTGGGAGCAGCTGGGAGCAAACTGGGAACTGGTGGGGCTGTTTGGAACTGGAGGAGCTCTTGGGATCCTGGTGGGGCTGTTTGGGAACTGGAGGATTTCTTGGGATCCTGGTGAGGCTGTTTGGGAACTGGTGGAATTTTTGGGAACTGGAGGAGCTCCTGGGAACTGGAGGAGCTCTTGGGATCCCGGTGGGGCTGTTTGGGAACTGGAGGAGATCTTAGGAACTGGTGGAAATGTTGGGAACTGGTGGAAATGTTGGGAAGTGGAGGAGCTCTTGGGGAACAAGTGGGGCTGTTTGGAACTGGAGGAGACCTTGGGAACTGGTGGAGCTCTTGGGATCCTGGTGGAGCTGTTGGGAACTGGTGGAGATGTTGGGAACTGGTGGATCTCTTGGGAACTGGTGGAAATTTTGGGAACTGGTGGAACTTTTGGGAACTGTTGGATCTCCTGGGAACTGTTGGAGCTCTCGGGAACTGGTGGAAATTTTGGGAGCTGTTGGATCTCCTGGGAGCTGTCGGATCTCCTGGGAAGTTGAGGAGCTCTTGGGATCCTGGTGGAGCTGTTGGGAACTGGTGGAACTCTTGGGAACTGGTGGAGTTCTGGGGATCCTGGTGGGGCTGTTTGGGAACTGGAGGAGCTCTTGGGAACTGGAGGAGCTCTTGGGATCCTGATGGGGCTGTTTGGGAACTGGTGGAACTCTTGGGAACTGGAGGAGCTCTTGGGAACTGTCAGATCTCCTGGGAGCTGTGGGATCTCCTGGGAAGTTGAGGAGCTCTTGGGATCCTGGTGGGGCTGTTTGGGAACTGGAGGAGCTTTTGGAAACTGGTGGAGCTCTTGGGAACTGTTGGAGCTCTTGGGATCCTGACGGGGCTGTTGGGAACTGGTGGAGATTTGGGGAACTGGTGGAGCTGTGGAGCTCTTGGGAACTGGAGGAGCTCTTTGGAAGTGGAGAAGCTTTTAGGAAGTGGAGGAGCTTTTAGGAACTGGTGGATCTCTTGGGAACTGGGGGAACTCCTGGGAACAGGTGGAGCTTTGGGGAACTGGAGGAGCTCCTGGGAGCTGTGGGATCTCCTGGGAGCTGTGGGATCTCCCGGGAAGTTGAGTCTCCCCCGTGACCGGGTGTGCACCGTCCCCCTCAGGACATGAGCGCGCTGGTGGCGGCGCGGATGCGGCACATCCCGCTGGCGCCCGGCTCCGACTGGAGGGACCTGCCCAACATCGAGGTGCGCCTGTCGGACGGCACCACCACCCGCAAGCTGCGCTACACCCACCACGAGAGGAAGAACGGCCGCAGCAGCTCCGGAGCCCTGCGCGGCGTCTGCTCCTGCGCTGAGGGTGGGTGACCCTTCCCAGCCCAAAAAAAACCAGTCTGGAGTGGGTTTGTGTGTCTAAAAACCAGTCTGGAGTGGGTTTGTGTGTCTAAAAACCAGTCCAGAGTGGGTTTGTGTGTCTGTCCCCCCCAGAAAAACCAGTGTGGGTTTCCCCCCCAAAAAAAACCAGTCTGGAGTGGGTTTGTGTGTCTAAAACCAGTCTGGAGTGGGTTTGTGTGTCCCTGTCCCCAAAAAACCAGTTTAGAGGGGGTTTGTGTGTCTAAAACCAGTCTGGAGTGGGTTTGTGTGTCTGTCCCTGTCCCCACTGCGCGGCGTCTGCTCCTGCGCCGAGGGTGGGTGACCCTTCCCAGCCCAAAAAATATCCAATTTAGAGGGGTTTGTGTGTCCCTGTTCCCCAAAAAACCAGTCTGGAGTGGGTTTGTGTGTCTGTCCCTGTCCCCCCTGCGCGGCGTCTGCTCCTGCGCCGAGGGTGGGTGACCCTTCCCACCCCCAAAAAATTCAATTTAGAGGGGGTTTGAGTGTCTAAAAACCAGTCTGGAGTGGGTTTGTGTGTCTAAAACCAGTCTGGAGTGGGTTTGTGTGTCTAAAACCAGTCTGGAGTGGGTTTGTGTGTCTAAAACCAGTCTGGAGTGGGTTTGTGTGTCTAAAACCAGTCTGGAGTGGGTTTGTGTGTCTAAAACCAGTCTGGAGTGGGTTTGAGTGTCTGTCCCCCCAAAAACACCAGTCTGGAGTGGGTTTGTGTGTCTAAAACCAGTCTAGAGTGGTTTGTGTGTCTAAAACCAGTCCAGAATGGGTTTGTGTGTCTGTCCCCCCAAAAAACCCAGTCTGGAGTGGTTTGTGCGTCTAAAACCAGTCTGGAGTGGGTTTGTGTGTCTGAAACCAGTCTGGAGTGGGTTTGTGTGTCTGAAAACCAGTCTGGAGTGGGTTTGTGTGTCTGAAAACCAGTCTGGAGTGGGTTTGTGTGACTAAAACCAGTCCAGAGTGGGTTTGTGTGTCCCTGTCCCCAAAAAAACCCAGTCCAGAGAGGGTTTGTGTGTCTGAAACCAGTCTGGAGTGGGTTTGTGTGTCCCTGTCCCCAGAAAAAACCAGTCTGGAGTGGGTTTGTGTGTCTGAAAACCAGTCTGGAGTGGTTTGTGTGTCTAAAAACCAGTCTGGAGTGGTTTGTGTGTCTAAAAACCAGTCTGGAGTGGGTTTGTGTGTCTAAAAACCAGTCTGGAGTGGGTTTGTGTGTCCCTGTCCCCAAAAACACAGTCTAGAGTGACTTTGTGTGTTTGTCCCCCCCAAAAAAACCAGTCTGGAGTGGTTTGTGTGTCTGAAACCAGTCCAGAGGGGGTTTGTGTGTCTAAAAACCAGTCTGGAGTGGGTTTGTGTGACTAAAAACCAGTCTGGAGTGGGTTTGTGTGTCTAAAACCAGTCTGGAGTGGGTTTGTGTGTCTAAAACCAGTCTGGAGTGGGTTTGTCTGTCTAAAACCAGTCTGGAGTGGGTTTGTGTGTCCCTGTCCCCAAAAAAACCAGTCTGGAGTGGGTTTGTGTGTCTGTCCCCCCAGAAAACCCAGTGTGGAGTGGGTTTGTGTGTCTGTTCCCCAAAAAACCAGTCCAGAGTGGGTTTGTGTGTCTAAAAACCAGTCTGGAGTGGGTTTGTGTGTCTAAAAACCAGTCTGGAGTGGGTTTGTGTGTCTGTTCCCCAAAAAACCAGTCCAGAGTGGGTTTGAGTGTCTAAAAACCAGCCTGGAGTGGTTTGTGTCCCTGTCCCCCAAAACCCCCTCCTGGTTGTCCCCTCCCCCAGGGAAGCCGTGTGACCCGGCCGACCGGCAGTTCAACACCCTCATCCCCTGGTGCCTCCCCCACACCGGCAACCGGCACAACCACTGGGCGGGGCTCTACGGCCGCCTGGAGTGGGACGGCTTCTTCAGCACCACCGTCACCAACCCCGGAGCCCATGGGCAAGCAGGTGGGGGGAGGGGGGCAGGGGGGACACCCCCACACCAGGCCGTGGGTGCCGGGGAACCGCGTCGGTGACCGGCCGTGGGGCGGGGTTGGGTTGGGTTGAGTTGGGTTGGAGGTGCCTGATGGGTGTCCGGTTGGGTTGGGTTGGGTTGAGTTGGGTTGGTTTGGTTGGGTTGAGTTGGGTTGGGTTGGGTTGGGGGTGCCTGATGGGTGTCCTGTTGGGTTGGGATGGGTTGAGTTGGGATGGGTTGAGTTGGGTTGGGTTGGGCTGGGTTAGGGGTGCCTGATGGGTGTCCTGTTGGGTTGGTTGGGTTGAGGCTGGGTTGGGTTGAAGGTTGGGTTGGGTGGGATGGGGTTGAGTTGGGTGGGTTGGGTTGAGTTGAGTAGGGTTTGGTTGGGTTGGGATGAGTTGAGTTGGGTTGGGTTTGGTTGGGTTGGGTGGAGTGGCTGGGTTGGGTTGGGTTGAGTTGAGTAGGGTTTGGGGTTGGGTGGGGTTGAGTTGGGTGGGTTGGGTTGGGCTGAGTTGAGTAGGGTTTGTTGGGTTGGGATGAGTTGAGTTGGGTTTGGTTGGGCTGGGTTGGGTTGGGTGATGGGGTTGAGTTGGGTTGGGTTGGGTTGAGTTGGGTTGGGCTGGGTTGAGTTGGGTGGGTTGGGTTGAGTTGGAGTTGGGTTTGGCTGGGTTGGGTTGGGATGGGTTGAGTTGGGATGGGTTGGGTTGGGTTTGGTTGGATTGGGTGGGGTGGGGTGGGGTTGAGTTGAGTTGGGTTGGGTTGGGTTGGGTGGAGTTGGGTTGGGTTGGGTTGGGATGGGTGGGTTTGGGGTTGGTTGGGCTGGGTTGAGTTGGGTTGGTTTGGTTGGTTGGGTGGGTTGGGTTGGGTTGGGTTGTGGGTTGGGTTGGGTTGGTTGGGTTGGGTTGGTTTGGTTGGGTTGGGTTGGGCTGATTGGATTGGGTGAGTGTTGGGTTGGGTTGGGTTGAGTTGGTTTGGTTGGTTGGTTGATTGGGTTGGTTTGCTTGATTGGGTTGATTGGGTTGGTTGGTTGGGTTGGTAGGGTTGGGTTAGGTTGGGTTGGTTGATTGGTTGGTTTGGGTTGATTGGGTTGATTGGTTGATTGGTTGATTGGGTTGGTTGGGTTGGTTGGGTTGGGTTTGGTTGGGCTGGGTTGGGTTGGGTTGAAGGTTGGGTTGGGATGGTTTGAGTTGGGATGGGTTGAGTTGGGTTGGGTTGGTTGGATTGGGTGTGGGTGGGCTGGAGTTGGGTTGGGTGGTTTGGGTTGAGTTGGGTTGGGATGGGTTGAGTTGGGTTGGGTTGGGTGGTTTGGGTTGGTTGGGTTGGTTTGGTTGCCCAAACTCGGCTGTCTCGTGGCAGGGCCGGGTGTTGCACCCCGAGCAGCACCGCGTGGTGAGCGTGCGGGAATGCGCCCGTTCCCAGGGATTCCCGGACACCTACCGGCTCTTCGGGAACATCCTGGACAAGCACAGACAGGTCAGGCCACGCCCTGCCACCATGGGGTCCCCGTGTCCTGGTGTCCCAGTGTCCCCAGTGTCCCATTATCCCATTGTCCTGGTGTCCCAGTGTCACCAGGATCCCATTATCCTGGTGTCCCAGTGTCCCCAGTGTCCCATTATCCCATTGTCCTGTTATCCCAGTGTCACCAGTGTCCCATTATCCCATTGTCCTGGTGTCCCAGTGTCCCATTATCCCATTGTCCTGTTATCCCTGTTGTCCCCATTATCCCCACTGTCCCCATTATCCCCATTATCCCCACTGTCCCCACTGTCCCCACTGTCCCCACTGTCCCCATTGTCCCCATTATCCCCATTATCCCCATTATCCCCATTATCCCCATTATCCCCACTGTCCCCACTGTCCCCACTGTCCCCACTGTCCCCATTATCCCCACTGTCCCCACTGTCCCCACTGTCCCCATTATCCCCATTATCCCCATTATCCCCACTGTCCCCATTATCCCCATTATCCCATTGTCCCCACTGTCCCCACTGTCCCCATTGTCCCCACTGTCCCCACTGTCCCCATCATCCCCACTGTCCCCATTATCCCATTATCCCCCCTGTTGTCCCCATTGTCCCCACTGTCCCCATCATCCCCCCTGTCCCCATCATCCCCCCTGTCCCCATCATCCCCACTGTCCCCATCATCCCCAGTGTCCCCATTATCCCCATTATCCCTCCTGTTGTCCCCATTGTCCCCACTGTCCCCATTATCCCCACTGTCCCCATATCCCCATTATCCCCAGTGTCCCCCCAGTATCCCCAGTGTCCCCAGTGTCCCCTCTGTCCCCGTGTCCAGGTGGGCAATGCGGTGCCCCCTCCCCTGTCCCCATTATCCCCCAGTGTCCCCATTATCCCCATTATCCCCTTATCCCCATTATCCCCATTATCCCCAGTATCCCCAGTATCCCCAGTATCCCCATTATCCCCCCAGTGTCCCCCCAGTGTCCCCAGTGTCCCCAGTGTCCCCAGTGTCCCCGTGTCCAGGTGGGCAATGCGGTGCCCCCTCCCCTGTCCCCATTGTCCCCATTATCCCCATTATCCCATTATCCCCATTATCCCCATTGTCCCCATTATCCCCAGTGTCCCCAGTGTCCCCAGTTTCCCCAGTGTCCCCAGTATCCCCAGTATCCCCAGTATCCCCAGTGTCCCCAGTGTCCCCAGTGTCCCCTCTGTCCCCGTGTCCAGGTGGGCAATGCGGTGCCCCCCCCTGTCCCCATTATCCCCAGTGTCCCCATTATCCCCAGTGTCCCCAGTATCCCCACTGTCCCCATTATCCCCATTGTCCCCACTGTCCCCAGTGTCCCCACTGTCCCCCCAGTTTCCCCCCATTATCCCCCAGTGTCCCCAGTGTCCCCTGTGTCCCCGTGCCCAGGTGGGCAATGCGGTGCCCCCTCCCCTGTCCCCATTATCCCCATTGTCCCCATTATCCCCATTATCCCATTATCCCCATTATCCCATCATCCCTAGTGTCCCCCCAGTGTCCCCCCAGTGTCCCCAGTATCCCCAGTGTCCCCATTATCCCCAGTATCCCCAGTGTCCCCTGTGTCCCCGTGTCCAGGTGGGCAATGCGGTGCCCCCTCCCCTCGCCAAGGCCATCGGGCTGGAGATCAAATCCTGCGTGGTGGCCAAACTGCGCCAGGACACGGCCCGTGAGTGACCCCATTGTCCCCTCCCGGGGGGTCTGGGGGGTCCCTGGGGTCCCTCTGGGGTCTGGGGGGTCTCTTTGGGGTCAGTGGGGTCTGTGGGGTCCCTTTGGGGTCTGTGGGGTCCCTGTGGGGTCCCTGTGGGGTCTGGGGGGTCCCTTTGGGGTCAGTGGGGTCTCTTTGGGGTCAGTGGGGTCCATGGGGTCCTTGTGGGGTCTGTGGGGTCCCTTTGGGGTCAGTGGGGTCAGTGGGATCCCTCTGGGGTCAGTGGGGTCCCTGTGGGGTCAGTGGGGTCCCTGTGGGGTCCCTTTGGGGTCAGTGGGGTCCTTGTCCCCTCCCAGGGGTCCCTTTGGGGTCCATGGGGTCTGTGGGGTCAGTGGGGTCCCTGTGGGGTCAGTGGGGTCCCTGTGGGGTCAGTGGGGTCCGTGGGGTCCCTTTGGGGTCAGTGGGGTCAGTGGGGTCCCTTTGGGGTCAGTGGGGTCCCTTTGGGGTCTGTGGGGTCCCTTTGGGGTCAGTGGGGTCCGTGGGGTCCCTTTGGGGTCAGTGGGGTCCCTTTGGGGTCAGTGGTGTCCGTGGGGTCCCTTTGGGGTCCGTGGGGTCCCTTTGGGGTCTGTGGGGTCCCTGGGGTCTCTGTGGGGTCCGTGTTGTCCCCATTCCCCCCCAGGTGTCCCTGATTGTCCCTCTGTCCCCGCTGTCCCCGCAGGTTCCGGGCTGGCCCCGATGGAACCGTTGGAATCCGCCGGCTGAGCCCGGAGGGACCCCCTTTTTTTTGGGGGGGAAGGGGGGGAATCAGGGGGGGCTCCTGGGGTTGTTTGGCCTTTTTTGGGGATTTTTTTTTTGCTTTGCTTTGTTTTTTTTTTTTCTTTTCCTTTTTTCCTCTTTTTTCCCCAATTTTTTTCCTATTTTCTCTTTTTTTCTTTTCTCCCCCTTTTCCTCCTCATTTTCTTCCCCTTTTCCTTTTCTCCTCTTCTTTCTCCTTCCCTTCTTTCCTTCCCTTTTCCCCTTCTTTTTTCCCCATCCATTTTCCCTCTTTTATCTGCTTTTTTTCCTGCTTTTTTCCCATCCATTTTCCCCTCTTTTTTCTGCTTTTTTTCCTGCTTTTTTCCCATCTATTTTCCCCTCTTTTCCCCACTATTTTCCCCTCTTTTTTCCTGCTTTTCCCCCCTCTTTTTCCCATCTATCCCCCCTTTTTTCCCCTCTTTATTTTTTTACCCCCCCCTTCTTTTCCTCTATTTTAATTTTAACTCTTTTTCCCTCGCTTTCCACTTTTGCTTTTTATTTCTTTTTTTATTTTAACCCCTTGCCCCCAGGCCCGGCCCTTCCCCCCTCATTTTTATCTCCCCCGCGGCTGCTTTGTACGAGTGGGACTCGACAAACTCCTTTCCGTAGTTTTTTATATGTTGTAATATTTCTTCAAATAAATCGCGCCTATAAATTATTATTATTTTTTTAATTAATAAATTCTTCGGTCGCTCCGAGTAGGCCGCAAAGCCTCACTGCGAGTGGGGGGGGGCGTTGCTAAGCAACCGTTTCCCGCCATGCCCCTCGCTGGGGGCACTTCCGGCGGAAGTGACGTAGGGCTCTTTCCGGTGTGGAGCGTGAGGGAGGCTGAGGCGATGCCGACCGGGGACTTCGAGTGAGGGGGGAAAGGGCGGGAAGGACGCGCTAAACGGGGGGGTTTGGGGTTTTTAGGGGGTCTTGGGGGGTCTTTGGGGTGGATGCGGGAGGAGGGGGTTTTGGGGGTTTCTGGGTTGGGGGCGGGAAACGGGATGGGGCCTGGAGGGCCCCGGGCGGGAGTCTCGGAATGGTGGCGGGGGGGCCGGTTGGGGGTTCTGGAAGGTCCCGATTGGGGGTCCCGGAGGGTTCTGGAGGGTCCCGGTTGGGGGTCCCGGAGGGTCCCGGTTGGGGGTCCCGGAGGGTTCTGGAAGGTCCCGGTTGGGGGTCCTGGAGGGTCCCGGTTGGGGGTCCCGGAGGGTCCCGATTGGGGGTCCCAGAGGGTCCCGGTTGGGGGTCCTGGAGGGTCCCGGTTGGAGTCCCGGGGTCTCTGGAAGGTCCTGGTTGGGGGTCCCGGAAGGTCCCGATTGGGGGTCCCGGAGGGTTCTGGAAGGTCCCGGTTGGGGGTCTCGGAGCGTCCCGATTGGGGGTCCCGGTTGGGGGTCCCGGTTGGGGGTTCTTGTTGAGGGTCCTGGAAGGTCCTGGAAGGTCCCGATTGGGGTCCTGGAAGGTCCCGGTTGGGGGTCCCGGCGTGTTCTGGAGGGTCCCGGTTGGGGGTCCCGGAGGGTCCCAGTTGGGGGTCCTGGAGGGTCCTGGTTGGGGTCCTGGAAGGTCCTGGAAGGTCCCGGTTGGGGTTCTGGAAGGTCCCGGTTGGGGGTCCTGGAAGGTCCCGATTGGGGGTCCTGGTTGGGGGTCCTGGGTTGAGGGTCCTGAAGGTTCCGGAGGGTCCTGGTTGGGGTCCCGGGGTGGGGACACACAGGGGGTCTGGGGGGGATGACATAGGGGGTCTGAGGGGGTGACAAGGGGGCTCTGAGGTGGGTGACAAGGGGGCTCTGAGGGGGTGACAAGAGGGGGTCTGAGGGGGTCTAAAGGTGACAAGGGGGTCTGGGGGTCTGGGGGAGGTGACAAGGGGGTTCTGAGGTGGGGGGAGGTGACAAGGGGGGTCTGAGGGGGTGACAAGGGGGCTCTGAGGGGGTGACAAGGGGGGTCTGAGGTGGGGAGGTGACAAGGGGGTCTGAGGGGGTGACAAGGGGGGTCTGAGGGGGTGACAAGGGGGGTCTGAGGGGGGGTGACAAGGGGGGTCTGAGGGGGTGACAAGGGGGGTCTGAGGGGGTGACAAGGGGGTCTGAGGTGGGGAGGTGACAAGGGGGGTCTGAGGGGGTGACAATGGGGGTCTGAGGGGGTGACAAGGGGGGTCTGAGGGGGTGACAAGGGGGTCTGAGGGGGCAGGGTCTGAGGTGACAAGGGGGGTCTGAGGGGGTGACAAGGGGGGTCTGAGGGAGGTGACAAGGGGGTCTGAGGGGGTGACAAGGGGGGTCTGAGGGGGTGACAAGGGGGTCTGATGGGGAGGTGACAAGGGGGTCTGAGGTGGGGAGGTGACAAGGGGGTCTGAGGGGTGACAAGGGGGTCTGAGGGGGGTCTAGAGGGGGGTGACAAGGGGGACTCTGAGGGGGTGACAAGGGGGGTCTGAGGGGGGTGACAAGGGGGGTCTGAGGGGGAGGTGACAAGGGGGTCTGAGGGGGTGACAAGGGGGGTCTGAGGGGAGGTGACAAGGGGGCTCTGAGGGGGTGAC